TTTGGATGAGAAAGTTGAGAGAGCTTGTCTGAAAAGGGAAGAAAAAGGGAAATTGTTGGACCTTCTTAAAGACTTTTGGAGCCTGTTTGATGGACACTTGGGGCACACTTCATTGGGGGAGCACGAAATCAACACGGGTGATGCAAAACCAGTTCACCTCCCGCCATACTGGAGCTCACCGGCTAAAAAGCAAATCATTGAAGATCAGATTCAGATGATGCTGGAAGAAAACATCATCGAACCATCTTCAAGCCCATGGGCTGCGCCTGTGGTAATTGTCAAGAAGCCATGTGGAGACCACAGGTTTTGCGTAGACTATAGAGGCCTTAATCACCTGACACTTAAGGATTCGTACCCACTGCCCAGAGTCGACGAATCATTGGATTTCCTGGCTCGTGGAAAATTTCTTACTACTTTTGATTTGGCTCGAGGGTACTGGCAGGTGTCGGTAGAGGAACAGTCAAGGCCAAAGACAGCATTCGCATCACACTGTGGCCTTTTTCAATTCAAAGTCCTTCCTTTTGGGCTTAGTAACGCCCCAGCCACGTTTCAGAGAGTAATGAACAATGTCCTTGCTGGATTGGTATACAAGTGCTGTGCAGTGTACTTGGATGATATTGTTGTCGTATCCCCAACCTTTGAACAACACTTGGAAGACCTCCGGGAAGTCCTTTCTAGACTTGAGTCAGCTGGTCTTACTCTCAAGCTAAATAAGTGTCAGTTCTGCTTGAGTGAGCTCATCTTCCTAGGATACAGGGTCACTCCGGATGGTATTTCTCCTGATCCGAGAAAAGTGGATGCGGTCGCAGAGTTCAGAACGCCGACGGACGTGAAACAAGTGAGAGGATTTCTCGGCCTCACAAGCTATTACAGGCGATTCATTCCAAATTATGCTCAAAAAGCTGAGTCACTTTTTAAACTCACAAGAAAGGAAACTCCATTCAACTGGGACGACAGTTGTCAGGCTTCGATGGATTACTTGAAAAACTGCCTTACGTCTGAACCCATTCTGTGCCTTCCGGATTTCACACGCCCATTCTCCATCCACACTGACGCTTGTGACTTGGGCCTTGGTGCGGCCTTGATGCAGAAGGATGACTTGGGGCGAGATGTGGTGGTAGCTTTCGCGAGCAGGACGTTGCACAAAGCGGAAAGACCGTACTCAACACCTGAGAAGGAGTGTTTGGGAGTGATTTGGGCTCTGGAACATTTCAGACCTTACATCGAGGGCCTTCGTGTAACCATTTATACTGACCACAACAGCCTGAGGTGGCTAATGAACCGTCCCAACCCCTCTGGACGACTGGCGAGATGGTCCTTGCGCCTACAAGATTTTGATTTTAACATCGTCCACAGGCCAGGGGTTCAGAATAAAGTTCCAGACGCTCTATCACGCAACCCACTGCCGCATTGTGAGGGCCCTATTGACATTCTTCCTCCGCATGCGGTCATCGCTGGGTTGGATCTGCGCAGTCTCTCCTCGGTCCCGATAACTGACAGAGAGCAGTTGACGCAGTTACAAAAAGGTGACCCAGTGGTTGGCAATCTTCTTCGAAACCTTGAAGGGGGCGGTACAGACGAAGAACATGTCATTCATGATGGTCTGCTCTATTTCAAGGACCCTAAGATAACCTGCAGTCTCCACCCAATGAAGCAGCTTAAGTTATATGTCCCTACAGTAATTCGATCCACTGTACTCCGGTATTATCATGACCATCCTACAGCTGGACACCTGGGGGTGACAAAAACGCTGGCCAGGCTGAAACAAAGGTTCTTTTGGCCCAAAATGGGGACAGATGTGAAAAGATACGTTATTTCTTGTCCTGTGTGCCAGTTGACGAAGACGAGCCAAAGAAAACCAGCAGGGCTGATGGTTCCGATCAGGCCAATGAAACCCTGGGAATACACAGGAGTGGATTTTGTGGGTCCGCTTCCACGTACTCAGAGTGGCAATGAACATCTGATCGTCTTCGTTGATTACTTTTCAAAATGGGTGGAAGTGTGTGCAGTGCGGTCAGCGACAGCTCAAGTGGCAGCGAGTAAGTTTTTGAGTGAGATATTTGCTCGACATGGTGCACCAGCCTACCTCATTTCGGATCGTGGGACTCCGTTTGTGAGCAATCTTTTTGAGCATGTGCTTGGGGCCCTTGGTACAGAACACCGGCTGACAACTGCGTACCACCCACAAACGAACGCCACTGAGAGGGTAAACCGTACACTTAAGACTGCCATACGTGCTTACGTGGACGACAAGCACACTTCGTGGGATAAATATCTTCCACAACTCTGTTTTGCTCTTCGAACTGCCTGCCATGAGAGCACAGGTCAATCGCCGGCAATGTTGTTATATGGCCGTGAGTTGGACACGCCGCTTGACTTGATAACACAGCCAAATTCTGTGGGAGTTGATGATCCTGGGGTACCCTATCCTGAGAGTTTGAGATATTCCCTGCAGGATGCTCACGATCATGCCAGAGCTGCTCTAAGTGCAAGCCATTCAAAAAAGAAGCGCTATTATGACAAGAAGCGACGCATGGTTTCCTATGCTGTGGATGACTTGGTCAGGGTAAAAACCCACCCCAAATCTGATGCTGGTGCAAACTTTACAGCCAAGTTAGCCCCAGTTTATGCTGGACCGTTTCGCGTCTCTAAGAAACTTTCAAGTGTCAATTACAGACTTTCAAACGTGGACACTGGAGAAGATGCTGGCGTGTTTCATGTAGTAAATCTGCAGCCTTTTCATTCATGGGACACGGCCGTGCCCACAACAAGTTCCTATGCTGATGTTGAGATGTCACTACCTTTGGGTGAGGACTTTGATTATCAAACAGACAGTGAGGAGTCGGGTAATGCTGACCAGAGTGTTGGTATTGACTACTCAAAGGAATCTTTGAATCGACACTCAGATGAAAATTCGCTGGAACGTTGTCCTGGACACTCACTTGACCTTACTCCTGACATTGTTGACGGTGTGGGTGTCTCTGACTCTCATGACTTGACATCTGACGCAGTTACTGGCGAACCCGCAAATCAGGGTCTGAGTCGTTATGCGCTGAGACCGAGAAGAGTCCCTAGAGTTACATCTGACTGGACGGTGAATAAGTGGACTAATCCCTACCATGTTAAAAGGTTTGACTTAGATTAAGCATGACAGACTGCGTTAGACTGTTGTTCCAGAGTGTTAATTGTTATTGTTCCTGTGTGTTCATGGGTCTCATCGGAAAAAAAATTGAGTGTTTCATTTTTGGGTCGTGATCAAACTTTTCTCATGTGTTACTGAACTAATGTACACTGTGCTAACATGTATGCTCGTACTGTTTGTACAATAGCTATCCCTTTGTCTTGTAAACTTTTCAAATCAGTCATGTATGAGTGGTTGTTAAGTCGAGGTCTTCCTTTGCTGTGTACGGCTGAGGGCAGCCTTTTTTTGGCCGGGGGAAATTTGTAACGAGTGGAAATATGGTGTGACCCCTTTAAGAATCTGTGACGAGTGAAGGTAGGGTGTGGCCCCTTTAAGAGCTGCGCGCTCCGGTTGAAGAGTCGACATTATTTGGTATTGTATGTGCTATATGCCGTGTGCCTCGAACACCCCATGTGTGTAATTCTAATTTCTGTTTGATGCCGACTTTTATATTATTTTACTTTTGCTTGTTAAGTAACGATGTGGACGGAAGGACGTGCGACAGATAGTTATGCTGCACGAGTTCGATGTGGAATAAAGCACGAGTTGAGATGCACATCGCCTCCGTGAGTCTGTCTGGCCTCCGCACGTAATATCTTCAGTTGTGAGCTATCCTTCTCCTTCTTCCTGAAGCAGCGCGTTACAAGTCCAAAGAAAAAGTGATACATTTTAATTGATGGCTCATTTCCAGGAAACATTTGTGTCATTTGTGCCCAAATGAGTAAAAATTACCATGGAAAACAGATACTGGACTTCGTCATATTGTTTGATAGAGTTAATGCTTAGTGTTTTATGGAATTTTTGGAAAATCAGCCAACTTGCATGTCCTTATTCATCACTATTACAGTTTAATTGGGTTACATAGAATATTTATTAGAAAACTTTTACTGGAATAAAATGGTTTCAGTATTTCTTTCAGTCCACGTTTTTGCACTACAGGTTCATTATATACATATCATTATGTTTACACATGGTGTGATGATATTATAATATAGTTAAGACCATTTCTAGCAATTTTTGTGTTGACCCTCAACTCAGTAACATTCAACCCTGAAACATTTGGAATGTAACAAGGTGAAATAGCTGTTCATGAATTCTAGACTTATTGTAACAGAGTTGAAATAATAGCGCTTTAGGGTTAATAACCTTTTTGGCTTTTTTTAGGCTGTAACCTTAGGATTAGAGGTAATAGTTTGAGAATATGCCATTAAAATACCCATATTTTAGTTGGTCTAGTACTTGGACCTGGAAAATATGTTTTTTTTTTTAAATCATCCGAAAATGACATGGTTTCATAAGAATGGGCCTAGTAAGTTGTAATCCCAATTGTGAAAAAGAACTTTTAAAAAGTCACTTTGTAATCATGTCAAATTAAAAGTTTTAATAATCTTTTGTCATGCTTTAAAGAAGAACACTTGATGTGTTGACTAACATATAATGCCCTTGTAAAGAGCTAGTAAAGAAGTAACATGTAAAATACTTGATTATAATTTTAACCGTGTTATTCATTTAAAGTTAAAATAGTTGTTTAAATGTACTAAACTGCATCTTCATCATTACAAATGTGTAATTAGAAATACATTTAAATGCAGTGCAAGATTCAATTAAAATGACATTTAAAGTATATTTTAGCTTACTTTTTTTTAGTGCTTGTCAGTACATTCAACAATACACGATATTATTTCCGTAATAATAAGTACTCTTTTTAAAAGTTCATGCTAGTGTACTTCATTTTCACAAAGGGTGTTTTGTTATAGTGTGTTGCTTCAGTGTAACAGGGGATGCTTTACAGCATGTATGTGTGCTTAGCAGTACTCACTCTACAGTATCCTTGTTTAGGGTCCCTGTGATGTTTAGTCCGTACTTGTGCTGCATGGCAGCAATAGCAGAATGCATGGTTTGCGCTGATCGCAGGACGGCCATGTTAGGTTGTGTATGGTGGAGGTAGCCATACCTCTGTAACCACGCCTGCAAGAGACAGAACAAACATAACCTGACAACATGTCCTCAGCTAAACCCCAAGGATCAGCTGTAGCTTGAACAAAACAATGAGAAGGAGCTAAACATGCCCTCACAACGCTTGGAAGGAAGCCTAGGGCTTCATTTTACGTTGGTTCTCAGATGGTTTTGCTTGAGGACCAAGGTTGTATACTGGAGACTGGGTGGTAATCACATAAAAGTAACAAAACATTGCAATTGATTAATATTACCATGAATTGCAACAGGCCCCACTAATAATTGACATGATAATAAATGAATAGGACTGTTTACAATATTGTATACACAGCATCAGAAATAACCAGGCAAACATATAGGACGAATACTGGGCTTAACCTTGTGAAGAAGAAGTGTGCTTAATTGTATTGAATGTGCACTTGTAGTGTACTTCAAATTTTAAACGAATATATAAAAAAACTGTACTTATTGATAATCTAATATTGAAATAAAAGGCCACTTAAGTGTACTTAAAGAGAGTACACTTTTATGACTGTTTCTTAACACACTTAACTTTGTAATAATAATGTTAAATTAAATGTTTTACCTTAAAGAGTATTTTAAATAATTATGTTTAAATTTTTTGTTGTACTTTAGAGAAGTACACTAACATACTAAAGCACATAAAGTATTTGATTATAAGCTGTGTGTTATTTAATATCACATTTAAAATTAATATACAGTATTTTAAATGTTCTAAATTGCAGCTTCATCATTTCAAATGCGAACTTACAAATAGCCTATATTTAAACGCATGGCATTCAAGTTTCAATAGAGATGGAATTAAAGTACATTTTAGTTTGTCATAAAGGCTCATCACATTCGGCAGGAAACTTTAACCATATTTCAAAGACAATAGAAGTAAATGTGAAATTACAAATCGTACTTAAGTATGTAAAAAACAAACGCTCTTAAATTCAAGTAATTGCATTTAATCTAAATATAGACTTTAACATATTTTGCCTACCAAATGAGAAAGTACTGCAGAGTTTGTTTGGACATGTCACATGGCATTTGACGTCAACAATAGTAGATTTATACAGCGTCTTGCCGCTCTAAGCATTACATTATATTGTTAGCATTTTATTATTAGCATTTAGCATTGTTTCTTTTCTGCTTTACATGACCCCTATCACCTATCAGAACAGAGTTGCGGCCATGTTTAGGTTGCTCTAGTTGACAACCACTTTTTTAGATGTTAAATAATGGCCAAAAACTTTCACATTTACAGTTTCATCATCAGTTTTAACATGTAACACGCTTCCAGAGATGCTAACTTTGAAATGTATTCAGAACTGCATCCTAGCAAACTGCTCTTGCTACTTTTACCATACCTTTAAATAGCAGAAATAGAAAGAGTAATAGAGTAGTGTGTTAAAATGTAGTACTGAATTCACTAAAAGGCACAACTAGAGAACACTAACGTTAATGTGTGAGCAAAATAACATTTTATGAACTCTCTTTGTTGTTGAAATGATGAACAGTAATGGCCTGTTGCAATGAGTCCTATGAGAGCGGTGATTCGAGGAGAGTGGTATTCTGAAGGTACATGTGAAGATCATTTCATTCCTAACAACATTATGCTGGAAAGAGCTTTTAAGATAATATACTTGAGGTCAAATATGCTTTGGAACAATCTATAAACAAAAGGCAAACTAAACGTTTTAGTGCTCTGCAGACGCTTAAATCAATAATTCAGTATGAATGTTGGTATATGTAAACGTATGATACAGTAGCCTATATATATATAATACAATCTTAGTGTTGTACCGTAAAGGACATTAGGTTATATTGTAGGCCTAGTTCTCATTATGAGAGCAAAAACAGTTGCGAGCCAAATTGATTCTCCGGCATTAATCAGCCTCTGCGTCTCTAACAAACACAAGGTCTGATTACTAATTTATATGAAGAAAACACAGATGTGCAATAGAGCCGTAGGGGTCTGGGATGGCAGGGTGTAACCATGGTGATAAAGAGTCATAGATAGAAGAAACTTTGTCATCCTCCGGGTGTTGTAATCACTCTCTTGTGAAGCCATAAATACAGAGCTGATGCCAAACTGATGCGCACTAAAGATGTCAATCAAGGGGGAAAAATGTTCCCCACGTTAATATACTCAATGTGTGTCAAATAAAACCAGGATTGCTCTGCGGGTAAACACACAGGCGCTTTCAAACTCGTGTTTATGCATAAATATAAAGCAATGTAATGAAAACATTAGGTGAAAAATTAAGCATCAAGCAAACATGATCGTGTAATAAACATATTCTCATGTTCCAACATCCCCAACCGAAGGAATCTCATCCGAACGAGCCAATCTCTCCAAGATTTGTTTGTATATTTTTTTTCACAAGTTTAATTGTTTATTGAGCCAACAAAGCAAAGAAAGAATAAAGAAAGGGAAAAACAGAAAGAAAAGAAAAAAAAAGTCCAGTTTAAATTGTGTACAATAGAAGGTACTCTACCGTTCAAAAGTATGGGGTTGGTAATATGTTTTATAAAGAAGTCTTTTTTAATGCCATATTTTACCTAATAATTGATTCCATGTCTTACCATATAATTCTCTGGTTGTCTAAAATTATTCTTTCTGGGTGAATGTAGGATTTTGTTTTACACTTTTTAATAAAACATATTTAAGCTGCAGTTGAAATAATAAAGCTTCTTATACTGTCCAAGTGGGTAATATACACAAAATAAATAATACCGTTTTCTCCATAACAATATATATATATTGTTATGGAGAAAACGGTATTATTTATTTTGTGTATATTACCCACTTGCAGCCTAATTGCCTTGACTCACTCAACACTGCAAATTTATGGACCGTTAATATTTGTGTAACTGTAGACAGTGATACAAATTTTATCCAAATGAGCCAAATCATCCAAATCAAATTGTTCCAGGATAGTGTTTACAATAACACAGGCTTTCTTAATGGAATGATTATGCTTTAAAAGAACCTGAATTATCTCTGTTTGACAGAATCTGACAAGAGTGAATATCACCCACTGAGAGAAGAGATGCTAAACAAAGCGATGACGTGAATCTTCGTGAAGGGCTGAAGCTGAACTCTCATAACGCGTGTGCAAGCACAACTTTAAAACGTGAGGTTTGATTTCAAAAGCGAGCCAGCTCAGGACAGGTTTTCTTGATGTTCGAAGTGCTTAGTCAGTCGGAGGTGGTGGAGTGCATCCTGTCGCACATCTCGCCCTACCATGACAACATGAAAATGATCAGCACCCTGAAGCTGCTGCCACATTTATACCAGATGGCAGAGACAGACAGAAAGAGGGTATGGCGAGATGATGATGAAAACACGTCTGGAGGACGTTGGAACGACAGTGTAACGTATGAAGACTCTCGAGTCCACTAAAGATGAAAACCCCATCATAATCACAGGTTTTCTTGAAACAGAGTGAGACACGAGACTGTGTGAATTTTCATTTTCTATGAGTACAGTCACATTCAAAGTGTCTGTTTTGTCATTTATATCTGCAATGCTGTGAATGTTTTTAACACAGTTATGGTAGAAAACTTGCAGCTTTGAGTGCAACAAAATTGTCAGTGTTACAGTCATTATGATGTGGCTTTTTGACTGTATTGCACATTTGATTGTTCCCAGTTTTATGTCTTTAAAGTCCCCCTGTAGTCAATAATTTATTCTTTAAAACTCATCTTTGATCACCAAAATTACATATTTAAACGTTTTTTCCTTGAAAAAAAAATCATCATGCTCTAAAATAGCTTGAATGTAACTCTACACCCTTGCCTCATGTAGTGTACGCAGTTCTATAAATATGCAAATTAGCTCCGCCTCCACTCACTCACACCAGCTCAGAGATCCACTCGTTGACGATCACACTTTGACCTGATTGGTTACAAGGTAGTGTGTGACGTCAGAAACATTTCAAACCGCGTTTTTGAGACTGTCTTTGATTCACTGCAGTTTTAAGGAGAAAAAACTCAGCAATGGTGTTGACTTATGTATTTGCACATGGTTTGTCTTAAAGCATATTAAAAACATCACACAGTCATATAAACAACATTAAAAGCTGGATTTTCACCACAGGGGACTTTAAATGTAAGGTAACTTATAGGGTTACACTTTATTTCAAGGTGACGTGGTTACATTGTACTTACTTAATGAACTATATGCACTTATACAGAAATGGTTAGGGCTTGGTTTAGGGTTAGTTACTTGTAATTATGCATAATTATTACTATAGTAAGTACATGTAGTATCATGTACAGTGGTGTGAATAAGTTGTTACTCCCATGCTAAAGTTGCCTAAAAAGAGGAATAAAAAATCATCTTTTGGAAATTGATCTTAATGCCTTAATTAGAAAAATGAGGAAAAATCCAACCTTTAAGGACACCAATTTTCTTTGTGTATGAATAATGTATCATAAATAAATAAATGTTCTTCCTTAAAATACAGGGTGCATAAGTCAGGCAGAAGTCTATGTTAAATTCCCATAGAGTCAGGCAGATTTTTATTTTTAAAGGCCAGTTATTTCATGGATCCAGGATAATATGCATCCTGATAAAGTTCCCTTGGCCTTTGGAATTAAAATATCCCACATCATCACATTCCCTTCACCATACCTAGAGATTGGCATGGGGTACTTTCCATAAGATCATCTTTCAATGCAAATCAAACCAGCTATTAGGCTAACTGAAATAACACCATGCCAATCTCTAGGTATGGTGAAGGGAATGTGATGATGTGGGATATTTTAATTCCAAAGGCCAAGGGAACTTTATCAGGATGCATATTATCCTGGATCCATGAAATAACTGGCCTTTAAAAATAAAAATCTGCCTGACTCTATGGGAATTTAACATAGGGGGGGCCTGACTTATGCACCCTGTATTTTAAGGAAGAACATTTATTTATTTATGATACATTATTCATACACAAAGAAAATTGGTGTCCTTAAAGGTTGGATTTTTCCTCATTTTTCTAATTAAG